CGCCGCCGTATCCAACACCACCCTACTAACCGGTTCTTTCATCTCCAGCATCCCACTCTCCAACAACACAGTGGTGACGCAAATAGTGTTACTCCCGCTCATAGGCGCATACTCGTCGCTCTCCAGAATGAGGAAACCGGCGTCGGCGGAAGGGTCGCAGGGGGAGAGCAGCAGGTTCATGCATTGCGAGACGCGGCCGAGCGGCTCTTGCATTAGGCGTTGGCGGTAGTGGTCTGCGTTGTGGAGGAAGTATTGGAGTTTGGCGTACATGGTAGGGAGGTGGATAGGGTCCGGGATGCCAGAGGTTATTACGTCGCCGATTTCGCCTTCGGCGTGGACGGTTGTTATGTGGATCATGGGGGAGGGGGGGTTGGGTGGAGGGGTGGACATTTTGGTGGTGGTGATGGTGGAGGGTGAGGGTGTGCAGGGGAATGCTGGGCTGGAGGAGGTGTTAGTATGTGTAGGTATGTTGGATAGGGATGATGTGTATTTGTACCGACAGTTTAGTGATTTGATATCGTTTCCTATGTCTCTTCCTTGCATTCGATGAGTTGATAATGCTGTGTATCCAAACTCCACACAACCAGCGCCTGGAAGATGTCCTTCAACAACTTGACATTTCGAGAGACTATATATCTATCACTCCAGAGATAAACAGAGTCAGCGTACTACCGGATCCCATACACGACCCACACAAATGTACTCGTAGGGCGTGCTGAGCACAGCCAAGTGCTAAGATGCATACCCCGCTTCCTACAACGAGGGGTCAAGCTTACCAACATGTCAAGACGAACTGTGTATATAAGCACGTTACCACGAGAACTTAGATTTCAGTGGGCCTGAATACTGAATTGCAACCCAATTACTATTAATCTTCCAAGAGGCGACTCTTTCTCCCTAGGTTCTATGACATTACAAACAAGGGCTTTGCTCTACAAAGCGAGACTGCTATACTCAAACTTTTGATGCAACGAACGCAAAGAATGGTATGTACACGCAGAAAGAGGTAGCCGATGACGGTCGGCCTGCGATCGCACAAGCATATATACACCTTAACCCCACCCATATCGTAACGGCGTCTCAAATTCAACCCATCTGCAGTATTACGCAGCCGGGAAGAACGTCTAGCGCAGCTTCTTCGTCTCAGAAGCATATGTGCGATCGTTCTCGTCACCCTCAACTTCCTCGACCATCTTATCGACGGCCTCAGCTTGCTTCTTCCACTCGCTTTGGCACATCTTGAGTTCCTTCTGAAAGAGCTCGTCGTTGGGCTTCCTGTAGCTTCCACCAAGACGGTCCCAGAGCGTCGTGTATTGACCGTAGTTGTAGTTGAAGTATAGATGGTGCATGGTATGGCAAGCAGCACCGTTGATGATAGGCGAGTTGTGCGCGTATTCGCCGTCGTGGATCAGGACGGTCCAGATATTGACGAAGACGAAGAGGAAGACGTATGCGAATTTCGAAAGTGGGAATATGAAGGGGAAGATGTGGTAGGGAAGGCCCTGGGCGTAGCCGTCGGCCGGGTGGAACGCGTGCGAGGCGAAGGGCGTGGGCATGATCCACTTGTGGTGCGGCTTGTGGACGTGCTTGTAGACGCGGGGGTGGTGGAGGCCGCGGTGAATCCAGTAGATGGCCGAGTCGGTGAAGAGGAAGAAGAGCGGGAACTGCAGGTAGTTGTACCAGAGCCCTGGGCCTTGGTCTACGGTGTCGTATAGCTTGGAGTAGCCGCGCACTTCGAGCAGGAACCAGGGCACGGTGAAGATGGCCATGATGGGGAAGGCGATGTTGGCCTGCTTCATCTCGAGCTTGATCTGGTTCTTGAGGTAGCGCGGGTGGTTGAAGGTCGACTTGTCGAAGACGAGGAAGTACGAGGCGCCGGCGAAGACGTAGTATACTAGGACACCAAAGAGCCTGGAGCGTTGTTAGAGGAGAACTACGTAAAAGGCTGGGGCAGCGCATACCATGTGATGAGGTACAAGGACACGGCCTGTCGCCGCCAGTCGTCGCGTGTCCATTGGCTCATGTAGGCATACTTGGAGGGCTCGACGGAGAAGAACTGCGTCGAGGGCTCGTACTGCCAGGTCGCGTGCGGAAGCGCAAAGCCCGTGGGCTCCTCTCTAATGCTCGAAACCGTTGCATTGCCGACGAAAGAGGGTATGGAAGCGGGAAGGAGGGTTGCGTAGAGAGGGTCGAAGAGAAAGGTGTCTGCTAGTTCGAGGACAACGTCCATGGCTATTCGGCTGGGGCGAGGAGACGCCTCGGCGATCGGCGTATTCAGGTACGGAAGACCTGCGATTCGTGATGTTTGAGGACCAACGGGCGCACACAATGCAGGTACACGTCACAACAAGAGACAGGCGATAAGAGCAATGCAAAGAGAGCAGAGTATCTAGGATAGAGTATAAACGAATGTGGGGAGGCGAATGCTCTCGTTCAAGTAGGTAGCAATAACGGCAACGCTTCCATTTATCGGCGATAAGTTTTCGGCGCCCCGAGTACAAGCGTCCCTGAGGGAAATGTCGCCAGGGTCCATGTTAACTGCTTTGGCTCCTCAACCGTCGACGTTGTGCCAATCAAGCGTCAAGACGGCCGACTAGAGACGCTCACGTGACTACGCATCACAATCTCGCGCGCCGGAATCGACGCATCCGCTGGTTCCGAAAGTGGACTGACAGCCCTACAGACGCTGCCCCTTATCAGATCTTCTCATCCGATCCTCGGAACATGCTCGGACGGTGACAGCACGGTTGACACGCCACTCTTGCGCTTACAAACCGTGATTGCGCGTTTTGTGGCGTGCATTGTCTTGACTGGTAGTGACAATCATTTATTGGTGGCATGGAAGATTTGAGTCTAGGCGGTCTCGACAGACCCTCTTGCGAGCCGTATACAGCTGATGCTCATTCGTCTCTACTTCATACCAGACTTCGACAACACATTTACTTTGCCACAATGCTGACAACATCCTCATCGGCCACTACATGCCCTAAGCCCACCTTCTGCGGCACGTGCCTGGCACTCGCGCCCCAAACCAGCGCATGCTTGAATGTCTCCTTCAGCGTCCGATGAACTTGGTCGCAAACATCTTCGATCGTGCTTCCGTGTCGTACAATGAGCGCCTCTGAGAAATCTGGGTCGTTGCCCTTCCTCTTTGTGTACACCCTGATCAACCTTAACTCTTCCCAACACCTGTCAACGACGTCTTGAATACCGAGATCGAGCTCACAGCTCATGACGACGGTGTGTGGCTCGCGTGCTAATTCGTCCAAGTGCGGTAGACCGATGCTATCGATCTTGTTGTACACGTAGAGACACTTGATGTATTTCCTGTGGTCCTTCATGATGACGTCAATGAAGTCGTCGACTGTTGCGTTTTCGTCTCGGACGAGGACTTCGCAGTTGAGCATCTTGTAGTCTTTGAGAATGTTGTAGACCATCTTCTCATCGAGATGCTTGGGCGGGACCTGGAAGTTGATCTTCATGCCGCCAGCCTTCTTCGGCTTGAGATAGATGTTCCTGTATGTCGATGAGATTATGCCATAGCGGGAAGAGTTGCGGTGAACTTACGGTGGCTCGCGGTTCAATCTGATGCCCACGGCTTCCAATTCAGCCTCCAGCAATCGCCTTTGTTCCGCCTTCTTCGTAGCATCAAGAATCATGCAGACAAGATCACTCGTCTTCGCAGCACTAATGACCTGTCTTCCTCGTCCCTTGCCCTCCGCAGCACCCTCAATGATACCCGGTAAATCCAAGACCTGAATCTCAGCACCACCATACTCAAGCACACCAGGAATCGCCGTAAGCGTGGTGAAGGCGTAGGATGCGGCTTCTGATTTTGTCTTTGTGACTCTGGAGAGGAAGGTCGACTTTCCTACCGAGGGGAAGCCAACGAGTGCAATACGCGCATCTCCGGATTTCGATACATCGAATCCTTGGCCTCCGCCGGAACCTGCACCTGCAGCGGGTTCGAGGAGTTGTGCGCGGAGACGGGCAAGTTTTCTGTAGCATGGTTAGCATACAGAGACTATATATAGGAGTATGGATAGTGTACCCTTTCAGTAGACCAAGATGATATTCTATACTTGAGCGTCAGCACGTGATACACAGTGCATCCAGTATCAATGCAATCGAATTTGCTTGTACATACCCGTAGCCTTATTCTCTGCATCTCGTTAGCGCAAATACCATCAAAAAGCACTGTCCCACTCACTCTGCGTCCTCCTCATCTCATCCTCAATCCTGGCGGGGCGTTAGCGCAAGGCCACAACGAAACTTCGGCGCTATCCCACTCTTTGATCTTCTCCGTAATATTCACCATCTTGACGGTTACTGCGCACTCTTCGCACTCGGATAGAGAGGGACTGGGGTGAGGATGAACGGTAATCGCACTTTGTGGCGGCTGCAGTCCGGCAGTATCACGATGGTAAAGGTTTGGTGTTGCAGGCGCCCGCAGCCCAGCGCCATTGCTCTTCGGGTCTAGCGCGTCAGCTAGCGAACGCAAGATGCAGTGCGTCATCTGAAAGGCCATGAGCTTTCGCGCCACGCTGGTTTGTTTTGTAGTTTCTAGTGCTTAGTCTTGTTGCTTTCTTTCCTATGTTGTTCGTTTCTTACTTCTGTATCGCTTCTCGTGCCGTCTTGGAAGCATGTTGTTTAAATCCGAGGATCCTTGGCCGCGCTCGCATCACGACTTGTTAGATCACTACCACGCTCAACACGATAAAGCTATCGCATCTGGGGAGTACCAACCATTCTTGTATCCATGGGGGACGCTTGGTGCACTTTTTGTTATCATATATCTTCTCATCCCACATCAGAACCGGCCGTGGCTCGAGAAAGGACGATACTTGGCATTTGCATGGATTGCCGGATTTGCAACTTACAGCAACTTATACACAAAGGCGAGGGCGGTAGCACCAGCTTTGGGTATAGGTCTGGTCAACGCATGGAGTATAGCATGGGTTGGCGCGATCATAGTGTGCAACGATGCACAGACAGATTTCATGAGGATTGAAAGGACCGGAGGCGTTTTTGGTTCGGATCCAGACCAGCGGAAAGAGAAGACACAACACGATGGAGGTGCTGAAGCCAAAGAAGATATCAAGAATCAGACACTAGAAGACGACCTCGTCAACAGCACCTCAGGCCCACGAGACCGCCACGGCCAATACGCATGGCAACCCTACCCCGTCCACCCCTTCATCGAGCGCCTAGACTGGGTCCTGGATATATTCTGCAACTTCCGGGGCATGGGCTGGAACTGGCGCACCACCGCCCTGCCCCCACCTCCCAAACCCATCCAGATCCAACTCGATAGCAACTCCAAGTCCACCGTCCCAAAGCACACCTACAAAACCCACGCGGGCCAAGTAGCACAATTCACAAACCGGCGCTCCCTCCTGCGGCAAAACACCTGGCGCCTACTCAAAGGCTACCTAGTCCTCGACTTGCTAAAAACAACAATGATGTGGGATCCCTATTTTTGGGGCTATACAGACAGAGCACCACCACCAGCCCACCTCCCCTCCTGGCTCACAAACAACCCCGTACTAACACACATCTACCACCTCCTCCTCAGCATGCTCGCCGTAAAATACGCGCTCCAAACCATCTTCGCCCTCGGCCCCCTCTTCTTCAGCGGCCTCCTCTCCCCCTCTCTCCTCGGCGCCCGCGCTGAACCCTGGATGTATCCTGAGACGTGGGCGCCGTACAGCGTTGTCTTGGATAAAGGGCTCGCGGGCTGGTGGGGCAGCTGGTGGCATCAGACTTTTCGGTTTGCGTTCCAGGAACCTAGTCGCAGGGTTATTGAGATGGTGGGCTTGGATAAGAGGGGGGTGGGCGCGAAGGCGTTGCAGCTTTTTGTCGCGTTCTTTCTGAGTGGCGTTGTGCATGGCAGTGGGAGTTATACTGCGACTGGGGAGACGAGGCCGGTGAAGGGGCCGATGGCGTTTTTCTTGCTGCAGGCTGTGGGCATTTTTGTTGAAGCATGTTTGACGCAGGCTGCGAGGGGGACTGGGCTGGAGAGGAATCTACCTGGTTGGCTGAAGCGGACATGGACGTTCGTGTACGTCCACGTTTGGTTTTATTACACGGCCCATCTTCTTTGCGACGACTTTGCTCAAGCGGGCGTTTGGCTCTTCGAACCTATTCCTATCTCTCTGTTTCGCGGACTGGGATTCGGACCTGATGCGAGAGATGGGTGGTGGTGCTGGGGTGGACAGCTCGTACGCTGGCATCGTGGTGATACGTGGTTGACGACTGGTATTGCGTTTTAGAAGCTTCTACCGTCTCCTACGTGTAAGTCAATTGTCGCATAGCGCCTGGTAGATTCCCTACACACAGCACTGTAATCCGATCGATAGACCCAGAAAGAACAAGACACAGTTCTTCAAGAACGTATGCCCTGTCTTCCAATTAGTCTTCTAAGAAGAAGGCTCTCCCGTTTTCACTTCCCCAATCACTGCGAAAACTCAGTTGCGGTACGTGTCCAACCAACACCCGTTTTCACTATTTCACAGATCACCTCCACCTGCCAGCAAAGTGAAAGTACCCTTTTGCTGTACCAGTAGACTATCGCACCTCCGCATACGCCCACCCCTCGCATAGTCTTTCCCGTTAGAAACCTCCACGCAAAACGACGTACACCTTCTGAAGACAACCCCACTCCGTCCTACAGTCGAACGCCGACTATGAACCAAGAGCCCTCAACAACAGAAACAATATTCAACCTAACATGGCGCTACCTCTCCCACGCCGCCGTCCCCGCCATGCTTCCCGCCAGCGCTCTCGACGCCAACGGCTCTATCCCACGGTCGTTTTGTCCAGACGTGTATGATGGGGTGAGGAAGACGGTGGGGGAGATGAGGGAGGAGGGGCAGTGGGCGGTTTGGTATTGGGTTGTTGGGCCTGGAGATGAGGGGGGAGATGGGGAGGATGGAGTGAAGAATGGTGATGGGGAGAGGGAGAGAGTAGGCTGGCATCCGTGTTTTAGGTTGCCGGCGAATCGGTGAGTGCGTGGCTTTCTTGTGGATGGGGTGATGGGGTGGTTTAGTTGGTGTGATAGGGATTGAGTGGGTTGGGTGTGGTGTGTGGTGTTTGTTTGACTGGTCGATTGGTTACTGACAACTGACATTGAATAGGCGCGTCGTCACACGTAACGTCCTCACCTCACCTACCTCCCTCCCTCATACCAACCCTTCCACCAACACCAACACCGTCCCATCACCCCCCGCTCCTCCTCCACCCCGCCGCCGCTCAATATCCTCCTCCTCCTACTTATCCACCAACCCGGACCATCACATCCCTAATCCCATCGCCAACCCCAACCCCCACGGCAACCACACCCGCCGATCAAGTGCCGACACAACGCGTCGAATGAGTTCCGTTCGCGAAGAAAGTAAGAGCGAGGAGGGTAGTGTGGAGGCGGCAAGCGAGAGTGTGAGCGAGAGGATAAGGAAGAGTACGAGTTTACATGTTAGACCGGGGATGGTCAGGAAGTAAGCTGTAAGGGGAGGGAGGGGGGATGCGAAGGGAGGTGATGGGTAGGATACTAGAGAAGTCGTAATGAAGGTCTGCCCATGTAGTGAGTTTGCGAGATTTCTGTCTGATAGTTTGACTGAACAAGCCTGTTGTAGAGATACGGAACCAACGTGTCACTCACAACATTGTACTCGCCTTTTCCTAATCGCACTGAATCTTTCGCTTCTTCCATGACCAACGTTCAACATATCAAGGCACCCCTCCTCCCTTCCCCCCACCATCCTTCCTCTGTGTAGGAAGAACGTCGGCTTACACTGCCACTCCCACTCCCCCCTGTCCCTTCCCAGTCACCCGCATGCATGACAGCATCCCAGCACTCCATGCGTTTCACTCCGTATGACGCGTTTCCCTCCCCAAATCTGAGGTCGTCATGACTTATCTCAAAGTTTACACAGTTGCGTATTCCGTATCAAGACACACGACGGCATTACCGAGATGAAGGGCGTTCATGCAGGACCATTGCCACTTATAAGGAGGCCACGCAAGGCTGAAGCGAGATGTCGAGTCAGTTGTTCCTTGCAACACCAAGACCACAACAGGCAAGTAGGGAATTTGTAATACCGCCGAATGAATCTCAACAGAAGGATAGTGTGACGTGAATAGATGGAATGGTAATAATAAATATAGTACATACACGCGCCACACTCTATAGCACATGGCACAAGGCCCAGTCCAGCCCGGTCCGTCTAGCCACACACACCTACACAGCCCGACCAAACCAAACCGAACAAACAAAAGACCGCGCACTGACGACAGCAGCGCATCTCGCAGCAGGGTATCGGAAAGAAACTCGGAAGAAAACGATCGCGCAAAAAACAAACAAACCACGATCTCAACGACCATGACAAAGACCCGAGATGCGATGCGATGAGGAAAAAAAGAAACATTATGACTTTGTATGTGAGGGTTGTGCGTCGCCGCAGATATTGTGTAGTAGGTCGTAACAGCTCTTACAACAAGAAAAGTAGAAAAAAAAGAAAGGGCAACCGGAATGCCCAGCCCACCCAATCAAGCAGACCCAAGAATCAAGACTGACTGACACCATCAAACTCCTCAAACGACCAATGCAAATGATGTCGATATGCCGCTAAACCGCGTGAATCGTTCCTTTTTGGCTTCTGAACTGTGTCTCTCCTCGTATGTCTTTGTGTTGTGTTGTACGTTTGGTAGTATGGTATTATGACTGCGCTTCGATGATGGTGGGTTGGGAATTAACCTGGAGGGTAGGCGTAATGGGGTATGGTAGGTATTGGTCGTGCTGCTGCTGGTGTGAAGCGTCGGTGGGGTGATTATCTTCTTGCGTGTGCGGCCGTGTGCCTGTGTCGGGGCCGAGATGGGGATCTGGTATTTGGACGTCGAGCTACAGAAAGTTAGTTGAACGGGGTTTTACTCATTGTGTTTTGGTATACGCACTGTCAGGTATCCAGTCCGCCGTAGTGGGATTATGCGGACTGCTTCTTTGGACCCAATGTCGCGGTTCCAATCTTCGATCCAGCGCTCGAGGTCGGCGAGTTGCTTTTTTACGCCGGTGAAGCCCGCGTCTTCCCAGAGCCAGAAGGTCGCGATGCCGAGGACGGTGTCGAGGCAGGCGCGGAAGGTGAATGGGTCAAAGGCGTCGACGAGGGTATCATTAATCTTCTTGATGAGTATCCGGAAGTCGTCTTCGGTGACGAGGGGGTCTAGGATCTCGGGGTAAAGATTGGCAAACGTCGGCGCCAGGTCGCCCTTCATCATCCAGTCGCGCTTTATGCGGATAATGCGCGTCGTGTTGTACAGCTCGGAGTCGAGTGGCACATGCGGGTTGGGATGGGGAAAGCAGGGATGCGAAGGGCCCCAGGGGAACTCGGACACGGCGTCGGCGTCGTCGTCAGCTGCAGACCCTGATCGTCTCGAGTGCAGCGAGGTGCGTCCGGAGCCGGGCAGGGAGACGCGCGACAGGCCGGCGGGCTGGTGGTTGCGGCCGGCTTCGATGTCTTTGTCGGCATGGGGCGCGGGCGAGACACTGTCCCTGGGGTTGGCGGCAGAGGCCATGACGAGGCCTGGAGTAGGCGGCTGCGTGGGTGGCTGGCTCCTGCGATCACGCGGAAGGGCGATGCTGGTGCGACCGCTGATGCTGTCCTCGCCCGTGGAACGTTGGACGGCGAGAGAGCTCGGCGCAGGGCTCTGGCGACTCAGGCGGCGCTCGGGAAGCGAGAGCAGCGGGTACTCGTCGCGGCCGTCCTCCCTGGCTTGCGTCTCAAAGTCGCGCTCAATGGGCAGATTGGGGTAGTGGTCGTCGCGGCGCGGGGGCAGGGCCTGGGGCGCAGGCGGCGGGTGCTGGATCTGGAGGGTGCGCGGCGACGAGTTGACGGGGTTCCAGAGACGCGAGGCGGGCTGGCGCGGCGGGCCCTGGTACAGCGCGCGCAGGTTGAGGTTGAAGATGCGGTTGGTCAGCGACCAGCGGGCAGGCACTGGCGACGCAGCAGGCGGCGGGTAAGCAGCGGAGGGCGGGCGTGGAGTCGTCGTCGTGCCGGTGGTGAACGGGCGGTGCTGGGTGGTGGTGAATTCCTTAGGGGTCCCAAGGGCAAGTGGTCCATGCTCACTGCAGCATTGCCTGCCGACAAGACCAAGTTTGCCGTGGGTGCTGTACTGTTAGGGAAGAAGGAGCAGACAGCGGGGAATCAGGTGTGGTGGATGCGTGCGCTGTACTGTTATGGCAGGACGTCGTCGTGTCGTGGTCGCCGTGGTCAGTGTCGCAGTGTTGGTGTCAACGTCTCACACGGCGGGTTTGGCAATAGCAGAGACAGAAACGGGCCATGGGGATAAACTTTGTCGCATGCAGCAGCAGGAGAGGCGTCACCACGAAAGGAAAGAGCGAGGGTGCTTCCTTCTTCTTGTACACGACACGACACGTCCGCCTCGTCCGGCGCAACTTGGGCACCTCCCAGCCCAGGCTCATGAAAAAGCGCCTGCCTGCCATGGCTTGTGCAGGCTGATGACTGCCTGCCGCATCACGCTGACCCCTGCCCCTTCACCCATCCCTCACCTATCCCACGCACTGTGCCTGCATTAGCCCGGACAATCCTACCCATCCCTAACAATCCATCCGACTGATGTCAATCTTAAGCATACTCGACATGCATTCCCTCCCATACGGTAACACGTTGGCGGGCACACCCACGCCTGCCGTCACCGTTGACATCCGCCGTCCGCCTCCGCTGTCGCTCACATGACCCTGACCCTGACCCTGACCAGACCATGACGTTGGCGCAAGCCTCGAGTACACCAGCCCAGCCCTGTTTCACAACACAAATCAATGTCCACACGATCCTCCTAACACACTCTGTTCCTCGACTAACCCGCTCAATCGCCATCGTCATCGACATCGTCTTTGCCTCCATTGCTGACAATTGCATCAATTGCATGACTCTACGCTCATCCCCATCTCCATCCCCCTCACACCCCCGTCAACCCTCTCAATGCTAACCAACTAACCCTCCATCCATCTCACACGCCCACACCCATGAGTAGCAACTCCCTTCCACCAATTACCCACACATCAGCCACATCCCCGGCAAGCCCTGTCAGCTCTTTACCCAGAACCGCGTCGTCGGGATTCCGCGCACTTGCTCTCATCTGAACAGCGTCGAGTCCGTGTGTTCGACTTGACCCCTTTTCTGGCGTTTACTTCCGATGACTAGTCTGTATATGATGTCAGCCCGGCATGTCTGTGCTGGTGGCGATGCGGTACGAGGCTGGCTGTTTGCAGCTTTGCCGGGTGCGGTGGAGAGATGGTGCCGTTGGTAGAGTAGCAATCGTGGGTCGTGTGGCTGCGTGCGGCGTAGTGTCGTGATAGTCAATCCTGTCTCCAGCCTCACTTTTCCCGTTATCCAGGATCGTCGTCGCTT